GGAGAGGGGGCGCGCCTCCCGGGACCCCCCAGCGCGCGCTCCCGGACGGGGTGCCCCGTTTCTCCCCTCTGTCGCGTCCCCATGGAGACGGGGGCGGGCCTGCGGGCGGGGCCCGCCGGACGCCGGGTCTTCCGACTAATGACCGGGCGGGCGCCGGTAATGAGCGTCTGGGCCCGGGACGGGCGTGGCGGGGGATGAAAGGCGCGCGGGGGGCGGGCAGGGGCCCGGGGCCGCATAATTACCGCTCCCTCGCGGCCGGCCAGACGGGGCCCGGGACGGTGCACCTGGCGGCCGCCTGGCGGAGGCGCGGGAGTGGGCCTTCTTGGCAGCCGCCCGCCCGCCCTCCTGGCCCAAATTCTCGGAGCCCAGAGCCAGGGTGGGGAAGCAGTGATGGGATCTGTGTGCGTGTTGCCAGGTGTGGTGCACATGGGTGCCCGTGGGCAGGGCGCTCGTGGGTACAAAGAGGGAGCAGCGAGGATTCCTGGGACTCCGTGCTTGTATGAACACGAAAGTGGGGCTGTGTGCGTGACCTCGTGTGTGTGCAGAGGCACGACGGGGTGTGCACGGCACCCACGGCACGTGCGTGCTCGCACACAGGAGAACATGTTTGCACTGCACCAATACAACTGGGGTTGTGCGGCCCCTCTAAAGCGTGCATAATTGGGATGTGGACGTGGGAGCGCAGGGCACAGGGCTGGGTGTGCATGACTCAGGTGGGCCGGGCCTCCGGAGCGTTAGTGCCTGTGGCTGGCGGCTGTGACTCATGCCCCCGGAGCATCCTGCCCGCGGCAGCCAGGGTCCCCAAGGGCAGTGAGGTGCCACATACAGCTAGAAGCTGCCTTGGGTTTTTGCTCCTCTTGCACAAGGATAGGGGGACAGGGACCTCTGAGGAGACCCCAGAAGCTGCCATCCTGACCCCTGGAGATGCAGCTGCCTGCTTCACTGGGGAGCCAGACTGCAGCTGTGCTCTGTCCTCAGTTTCCCTCCTTGTTCCTAGGAGGAGGTCTGCACCATAGAGGAAGACTTGTGTTGTAGAGTGGGGGAGCGCCCTGTGACTCATGGCCCAGGAATTTGGAGGCTGCCACCCATGCGCACCCACCTGGGACAAGCAGGAGCCATGCAGGTGATGAGAGTCCACGCCATGGTGTGCCATGCCACAGACACATTCGGGTACATGTGGCTCTCCTGTTCCC